AAAAAAAAAAAAAAAAAAAAAAAAAAAAAAAAAAAAAAAAAAAAAAAAAAAAAAAAAAAAAAAAAAAAAAAACTATATATATATTATTATTATTATTATTATATTAATAATAATTTATTAATTTATTAATTAATGTTGATATTATAAATAAAAGTTGCATATCTGATTTAATTTAAAACGGAGTCTACTAGAAAGAGGTTTCCACATCCGGATTTGGGTCGTCTACTAGAAAGAGGTTTCCACATCCTTACAAAAAGGATTTGGGTCGTCTACTAGAAAGAGGTTTCCACATCCTTACAAAAAGGATTTGAGTCGCTACAAATGCCGATGTAGAATCTTACAATATTTGCTAGCGGTGGATTTGGGCCGCTACAAATGGTATTAGAACCAGACACGGGGTGATGTGCTAGTGAGGAGGCTAAGGGTATAGAAACTTATCCATAACAGAAGCGTTTTTTAAAATCTGGAGCAAAATAACGTGGAAACTCTCCATAACATAATGGTTTTTTAAAATCTGAAGCAGAATAACACACCATTTTTATTTAAACAATAAGGATTTTGATATATTCCAATCCATAGCGCAATGGCGACAATAAAATCCCAAGAAAACAATCTGACTTATTCAAGGTGATATCACAAACGGATGATCGTTCAATCGGTGAATCGAGTGCAGTCAGTGATGACAGCACAGCCACGGCTATAAGGTTTGATCCTCCTTCGCTTCCTGCAGTCATAGTAAGAGCTGCTGCGACGGCTGCAAGGTATATTGTTAAACCTAAGCGCCTCATAGCTTAAATACCTTCTACGATACATCTTGTTTATCCTATCGTATCCGTACTAGAAAAGTAGCCGTCGACCATCTTCTGTCAACTGTGCCGGTGCATATCCGCCGAAGAAGGCGTAGTCAGGGGCGGCGTAGGAGGAGACAACAATGAGGAGGAGACATAGGTAGAGCTTCATGAATCCCATTTTGGTTTGTGAATATGCGTGGAAAAATTCAGGTTTTTATTTTGGTTTTGGTGTAGTTAGGCAAATATTTTAAAACTGTGTGGGTATGGCAATGGATTAGGCTATTTTGGAGAGTTAAAATTATCCTCACAAATCGATATGAGTTTTTTTTAGCTTCATCACCCCGTTCGATAGAAAAATTTTCAAAATGTCACCCAAAATACGATTGCTTCATGTCAAGTACGCTTAATTTTAAAGTTTTTACAATTGAGTCATCAAGAAGAAATATACACCTTATCGATATCAGTAGTTATTACCAATTCTTCTAAACATTTCTTAATCATGCAAATTCTTGGTATTCTAGCGAGGAGGAAAAGAAGAAAGAAAAAAAGGGAGCTAGTTTTGGTACTAAATCTCCTCGTGAATCTCTACTTCAAAACCATCCCTTGTTGAGCAGTGTCAAACAAACATCGATTCAAAACATTTATTGACTTATGCTTAGACCATTGGAGCTAGGTTAAATGAATTGTATGTTTTATAAATAACACATTTTGTGTGGCTTATCTACGGAGTTATTAATTGTATAATGTAACTTTTATAATCTTCCTGCGATGTATGTACTTCTAGTATGTCAATTCATTATGTATGTTATGATATCATGTTTGTTTTATGTCCTATTCGATACTTGATAATTCATGTATGATAACAATGAATTATATGTCATGATGATGTATGTATATCTCAGAGGAAGGATGTGTTATGAAAAGTATGTAAGTATGATGTGCATCATAACAATGTACCATGATTTGAAAGTGCAAGACCTTGTACATGTTGTATATCATGAGCAAGAGATACTTCTCCAATATATTTTGTACGGACACTTGCTTCAGGATATGCTACGTGCTCCTTTCTTTTTGTTGGTTTCTAATAGTGTGAGCATGTGGTAGCCCGTTGTCAAGCCTATAGAGTTTGTATAGGAGTCTGCCTAGTAGGCTCATACTTCTTCAGACCTTTCATATGTTGTTGGAATGGCGATTAGGTACATGGAAAAGCCTACTATGATGCATCATCAAGAAGTCACATTCTCCGCTATATGAAGGGAGCCACAAGCTACAAGTTGAAGTATCAAAGAGGGTGAGGTTCTGAAGAACTAATTGATGATAGAGAAAGCACCGAGGGATGACATTTTATCTAAGTGAAAATTTGATCTCTTAACAATCTCAGAAGCACTAAATTACCTATCTTACTATGAGGTCGAGTTCATGGCAGCAACTGCAGCATTGTGCCAAACATTATGGCTGAGAAATTTGTTAAGTGAAGTGACCAGAAGTGAACTACAGCCGGTAACCCTCTACGTCGATAACAAATTTGTGATTGCATTGAAGAAGAATTTGGTACCCTCTACGTTAACAAACTTGTGATTGCATTGAAGAAGAATTTGGTATTTTACGGACGTAGCAAACAAATTAACACTTGCCACTTGTAGCAAACAAATTAACAAATTAACTGCCACTTGTAGCCACTTGTAGCAAACAAATTAACACTTGCCACTTGCTTGCTTCCACTTCATTCGCGAGTGTGACGAGATGGTTGTGGAGTTCTTATGAACCAAAGAGCTGCAGTGGTTACTAAGAGCAAAGAATCTCTAAGAAAAGAAAGCTTTTTAAAGGG